GCCTCTGTCGACGTAATCCCCCATGAACAGGTAGTTGGTGTCTGGCGAATTGCCTCCGATTCGGAAGAGCTCCGACAAGTCATGCTGCGTACGGCCGAGGAGCACGCCACCTCGTCAGAAGCAGTCATCTGCCTACGCTTCTCCTCTCTGTGCGCTTACAAATTGACCATGGATGTCTCCACATACGGTGACCGGGCAGCGCACGGGCTGGACGTTGGATTCGTCCAGCAGAATCTCTCGCGCCTGCAGTGCGAGCCGAGCGAGTTGCACACGTCAGCACGTTAGTATGTTGGCAAAAGGCGGTGGCAGTCTGGAATGGTGCACTCTTGAAGCTGGTCTTGCCATGTGCGGGATGCCAAGGCACAAGCCAAAATTCGAGTGCACGAGTGATCGGGCAACAGACAAAAGCCTACAAGAGCTTAAAAGTCTGGCCAAAGGCGGCCAAGACTCAAGGCCGTTGTTCGCGCGCTCTTCGCTGCCCCTTTCCTTCCTCGAGCCGGCGGCCAGCCTTGAAAGGAAGTCAAAGCCGCATACAGGCAGGGTCTCGCGCCTCTCAGCAGGGTATCGTGCCTCTCAGCAGCCGGGCTATCATGCTCCCCTGCAAGTGCTCGTCCAGGACCATGTCCGCGCGCATGTCCAGGGCAGCCTACCTTGAAGCGCCTGTACTTCTTCCATAACTCTCCCAAACGCGACTCACCTTTTCGCAAAGGCGCTTGATGTCGTTCTCTGACAATTGCTTGCAGTCGCTCAGATGAGAGATCCAAGCATCCTGCTCTGTAATTTCCACCATCTTGGTATTTCCTGGATTTCGACTCGGTGCGATGTGGCTGGTCTATAGCTTGAGCCTGAAGGATGCTTGTCGAAGCTCGTAGGAAGAGTCGATGATGGATCGATACGCGGCGGGGCTCGCTGGCGGATGGAAGGGTCCAAGAAGGTGAAAGTGGATGTTGCTGCTGGTGTTTCCAGCAAATCGGCTCAGCGTCCGGAAGTGCACCTGTATGCCGGAAGTGAGTCTGCTGTTGAGTTGCGAAGAGATGAGAAGCGCGGTCTTGGATGAGATGTTGAAGCACAGCGTGAATGCAGCAGCGACCGTGATGCTCGAAGAGGTGGATGTCGAAAACTGACGGTGCGTCTCGATGGTGTATCTCCCAAGGCCGAGCCGCCGCCTGCATGCGATGAACGTCACTGCGCTCGTTCGTTTCCTCGCGGCGTACAGATTTGGTCGCAGCCGTCACTCAGTCAGCAGTGGTGAGTCAGTGCATGGTCAGACGAGGAAGGCCACTGCCACTGCCACTGCCACT